TCATCATCTTCATCATCTGAAATCAAATAAATATTTTATAGTCAATTCTATCAGGGACATCATTTCTCTAAATACAATTTTTAAAAACAAAACCAAACTGAAAAAATATTTAGCCATAATAGAAAATTATTTTGTTTGCAAATTTGTTAAATTCTTCCTCTACCAATGGTCCACAGCTTACTGACATTTTAAGGAAACTAAGATTTTTGGGGCCACATTCTTATCTTTATGTACAAAATTCTATAATGATCTTTATTTCTCACATGTCAAATGTCAAGCATACAGCACCGAAGCAGCAGGTTATAGAAGAAGTTCCCAACAATATGTGGGAAGAAACTGAATATGCATTTTATAACATAAAATAGACAGAAGAGCCCATGAAGAAAAGGAAAGAATTGTTTAACTCGCTGTTCTGCCAACAATGATAGGCAGAGCAGAGAGCTGGTCAATGACAAAAAACAGATGAAGAAAAAATTGCTGTCACCCAGAGAACAATGGAAAGATGAAAGTGCAAGATATTCTACAATCACATACTGAATGAGGAGATCAGAAGGCATACAGAGGTGACTGATGTAGTGCAGGGAATGTATGATGCAAAGCAAAACTGGGTGGGTCATGTAGTCTGCAGACATGACAATAGTTGAGCAGCCCGCATTAGTGACTGGATCCCCAGAGACCACGAACCACAACTAGACAGATTGAAAATGCACTGGGCCAATCTCTTGACAAAACTCTTTGGCAAGAAATGGAATGGTGTGGCATTGACTTGCATTTGTGGAGGGATGGATGAGGACAAGTTGAATAAAGATGACTCTGTTACATGATTTAAGATAATGGAATTTGCAGTCCAGTCTGCATCAGGACTATTCACCAAGGCTCAAGGAGTGGACCATCCCTGTCTGAGTCAGTGAGCAGTCACTCCGCCTCACTACACCCACCTGGCTCAGTCGCACACAGGGAATCAGCTACAGTTCAGGGGCTCAGGCCTGCGGTCAGGCCAAGCACACAGTCAGAATGCCAGGTTCTCACTCGGGGCAGGCAGCAATAGTTCAGGGAGTCGGGCCCAGGTTCAGGCTGAGCCTTGAAATATACAGCCCTAGGTCAGGGTGGTGCAATCAGTCGGGTCTACTTAATATAATACACGGTTGAGAGCAGAGAGCCAACAAGTGCAGGTGTTTTTCCTAGAGAAGCGGGAGAGGGTAGAGACTTCCACTCATAGACTGGAGTGGCGGGGGGGAGAGGGCAGGACGGGACATACACGCAGGCCCACTCACTCCACTGTGTCCCGGAGCAGGGCCTTAACAGCGGCAGAGCACTCTGCCACTGGATCAGCGGGGATCCTGACCACAACACGCTGACTCACAGGCACTGTTTTACTGCTTGATATATTAATTGCATATTAACTGTGTATTATATATTAATTAATGTTATGTAACATACAGCCAGGAGCGGCTTGAGGCCGGCTGCGGCAGCTGGAGCCCCAGGCGGAACGCACAATCAGCGCCCCGGCCTGCAGGGCCGTCATTGGACTGACGTCATCGGCGGGGGCCCCCCCGACGTCATCATCGGGCATCCCGGGCGGCGGCACCCTAGGAGGCGGCCAAGTCACAGGTCGCCCCTGCATACAGCTCTTTAGGCTTTATAGCAATAGAGCAGGGGTGGGGAACCCTGGCTTGCTTGGACCCAGCTCCTGAGGCTTAGACCCCACCCTAGCACTGGAGAGCCCACACAGACACACTTACCCTGTGGGGAAGCAGCAGTGGGGGAGAGTTGGAGCGCACAAAATCTAGTAGGCTGGGCTCCCCTAGGCTCTGGTGTGTGAGGGGAATGTGGGGAGTGTCTTTCTGATTCTCAGTTAGCGGACACATCAGTGAGAATTTGTTTTGCTTTTTTTTTTTTTTTTGCTTCTCAGTTGTGTGCAGCCCCCGACTGATTTTTCTGTGGGTCAGCAGCCCCTGACCCAAAAAAAGGTTCCCCACCCCTGCAACAGAGCTTCTTCTTCACCTTTCTTAGCTTTTCTTCCTATTAAGTTTGTGGCAGAAAGTCTCTGGTGTTGCTGATATACAGAATAATAGAATAGAATACTAGAACTGGAGGGGAACCTTGCGGGGTCATTGAGTCCAGTCCCCTGCCCTCACAGCAGGACCAAGCACTGTTTAGATAATCCCTGACAGGTGTCTATCTAACCTGCTCTTAAATATCTTCAGAGATGGAGATTCCACAACACCCTAGGCAATTTATTCCAGTGTTTAACCACCCTGACAGTTAGGAAGTTTTTCCTAAACCTCCCTTGTTGCAGTTAAAGCCCATTGCTTCTTGTCCTGTCCTCAGAGACCAAGGAGAACAATTTTTCACCCTCCTTCTTGTAACACCCTTTTAGATACTTCAAAACTGCTATCATGTCCCCTCTTAGTCATCTCTTTTGTAAACTAAACAAGCCCAATTCTTTCAGTCTTCCCTAATAGGTCATGTTTTCTAAACCTTTTAATCATGTTTGCTGCTCTTCTCTGGACCTTCTCCAATTTCTCCACATCTTTCTGGAAACGTGGGGCCGAGAACTGGACACAATACTTGAACTGAAGCCTAATCAGTGCAGAGTAGAGCAGAAGAATAGAGTAGAAGAATTACTTTTCATGTCTTGCTCTAGGTTTATTGATAAGAAGGACATGTGAGACCGAATCAAATGCTTTACGAAAGTCTAGGTATCTGTGTGAGTGGGTGAGTGAGAGAGAAAAAGAGTGAAAATTAGATGCAGCATTTGCCAAGGTGGATATAAGCAAGATAAATCATACACACAGATTTCCTAATTCTGGTTAATAAATTGCTGATGAAACTTAGATAAGAATTGCTGCTGCTGCTGCCACCTTCCTCTAAGCTGCGTCTTGGATATTACTCATAATACCAGCAAATTACTAACCTCATCTGACAAACTTCCTTCACTACTACAAAAATGGAAGAAGATTTTCATGCATTGGTTCAACTCCAAGATTAGCTGCCAGAAAACAAGGGAAACATGGCCCTATGGGATGTTTTCAAAATCTTTTGTCCTTTTATAGCAGAAAATGTGCTTTTATTTACTGACCACAGCAAAACTACTTTTTGTTACAACACCAGGGGATTGCAGTATTTAGGAACTACAGCAAGGTTATATTACCTGGACACAGAACTGTTTACTCTTAAGTGCTATTAGGTTAGTATTTCAATAAATGTGATAATTTAGATGTGGATCTGTAAAACCCATCTTGCTTTTACAGAGTGGCAAGGTCACTGTGTTGGCCAACTGGATGGTAGATTCCTGTAAGTACAAAATTCTGCAAATTAAAGAACTGCCAATTTTCCTATCTCTAGAGTGAGGTCATTAAAGATAAACTCTTAACACAGACTCAAGTTCCCAGTGCTAGCAGAAATTGGTGAAGGGCAATGTAGTCTAGAACAGTGTGTCTCATCCTTTTTTATAAAGTATCCCTTTTAAAAAAAGTTATAAGTACCCCCAGTACCTACAGTTTTCAGACACACAAAATTTTGTTCTACCGTTGCAACACATTTGTTTAAACAACTTAATCGTAGCTGGGCAGGCAACGACATTTTTGGATGTAAAAAGTACAAAAATAATAAAGCGCTGTGAAACTTAAAACAAAAATTCAGTTTTCTCCAAATTTCAATTGTGCTGATGTACCCTCCCAGACTTCTCTCAAGTACCCCTAAGGGTACTCATACAGTGACTGAGAAACACCGATTCCAAGCATCAAAGAACTTCCTAGAATTCTTATAAAATAAAATTAATTTACAGACGAACTGTCTACCTATTTAGATGTACTTCTATGCTAAAACCCTTATAAGAAAACCAATATTTTTTAAAGAAGAACTGCAGTGAGGTGCACTCTTCAACACATATAGGAATAAGAAAAAGATAAACACGCAGTGGAGTTTATTCCCCTCTGTTCCAATACATTTAAATGAAAGACGTATAGACCAGTGGTCCCCAACCTTTTGGGGCTGCCGGGCGCCTGGGGGCGGGGCCGCTCACGTGCTGCGCGTATGGGGGCGGGGCCACTCACAGGCCACGTGACTGGGGGCGGGGCCAGACATGTGCCACACGCCAGAGGCCAGCAGCGGCATGTGCTGCGATCCTGGGGAGGGGCTGCTCAGGTTCTGCGGGGCCTGCAAGGGCACG